TGGCCTACACAAGAGCATCACTACAGTGATAATCAAAGGCACCTACTTTTCTTCCCTGGCCTTATGCATGAACTGACATATGTAGGTCATTTCATTGCTTGGACTTTGCTGTGTTTTGGAAAAAGCATATAAACTTTCTTTTTAAAAATTTTGTTTTGTTTATTTTTTCAGTAGATGTACAAAGGAGTTGCCAGTTAACAAAGCAACTTGTGGCTACAATGCATCTTATCCCAGGAGTATTGTTTTTAAAAAATGGCCACAAGGCTATAAAAATGATGAAAAATTTCTGCAATAGGCAAAATCTCCTTATTTTTGCAGCCTTGTTGTTTTTGGGAAGAAGTCTTGGGTTTACTATAGGATGCCTCTGTGGCTAGAGCTATCATCTGCAATGCCTCCCACCTTACCTATGCCTCTAAGTATATGCAGGGGTGGGTCATGAACTACAGCATGAGAAGAAACCAGGCCCAAATAAATTTGAAATCACACAGGCTTTTAAATCTTGTCATGGTGCCAATTCAAGCAGTGTGACAGGTGTGGAAGACATTTGGAGAGCCAAACTCAATGGCCACAAGAAATTCAGAAGTCATGTAGATATTAAGCAAAGTATCAAATGGAAAGAAAGAAATCACTGTTTTCATGGTTTCTTTGGGAGTTTGACAAATGCATTTAAAGGAATGCCTGTTCAGTTGTGGGCTTGCGTTTGGATGCTAAATAGTGTGTGTGTGTGTGTGTGTGTGTGTGTGTGTGTGTGTGTGTGTGTGTGTGTGTATGTGTGTGTGTGTGTGTGTGTGTTGGTACTGAGGTTTGAACTATGGGAACTCTTTTTTTTAATTGTGAAAATACCATACAGAGGGGTTATGATTACATGGGCAAGGTAATGAGTACATTTCTTTGAACTCTGGGACCTCGTGTTCCTTGCTGGCACTCTACCACGTGAGCCACACCACTGATTCTGGCTTTTTGCTGGTTATTTGCCATCCTCAGATCTCAGCCTCCTGAGTAGCTAGGGTTACAGGCATGAGCCACTGATGCAAAAATAATATATTTGTGATCTTTGGGACCAATCAAGCATGGCTGTGTTTCTATGTGATAGACAGGCTTTTGGAGGGAAGGAAGAAGTAATAAGATCAAGAAAGTGTGTGGGGAAGTGTGTGGGGAAATGGGGACAAAAATAGGTATTGATAGTGGCTTTTCAATCAGTTCTGGAACAAATTCATACTTACATTAGTCCAGTACAAAAATTCCTTCTCTGTTTTACCCTCAAACTTTCTTTCTTGTAGTGTGGTAGTAGAGGTAGTGTGGTTGGAACTCTAAGCCTCACACTTGCTAGACAGACATTAAGCCATGTTCCCTAGCCCTCTTTTTGCTTTAGTTATTTTTTAGGTATGGCCTCATTCACACTTTTTGCCTGGACCCAGCCTCAGACTGTGATCTTCCTACTTATGCCTCCTGTGCAGCTGAAATTACAGGCATGTGCCTCCTTGCCTAGCTTGTTGGTTGATATAGACTCATTTAATGTAATCCTCCCAATCTCTGTCTCTGTAGTAAGGGGAACCACATCTAGTGACCCCTACTTTGACGATGAGGCTATACCAGGCAGTGAGTATAATATATATGTACATTTAAGTGTTTATAGTTTCTTTATGTCTTATCTCACAGTCTCAGACATGAGCATTATTTTGAAGGCTCAGATTGTGAGCAAATACTCTACCTGTGCAGGGGATTCAAATGCAAGACAGGTGACTAAAACTCTTAACGGCTTAAGTTTTAATTTAAACCATGTTTTTTTTTTTATCACCTACCACCTACACGAAGCTATGCAAGTTAAAATTCCTTCAACGTTCTCTACCTCCATTTTCCTATGTGTAAGGTGAGACCAGTAGTGTCTCTCCAACAGGAATTCAAAGAGCAAGAAAACAATGTGAGTAATTTTGAGGCGTTTCTTTTGGTGACTCACTTCTGTAAAATCATGTCTGAGTTCAGAGTATTAAGTGACAGTACCTGGGTTTCCATTCACAGTCAATTAGAAGCTTGTGTTTAAGCTGGATATTTAGTGTTCACTTCCTTCCCTTCATAAACCCTAACCATCATTCCACTTACTTGATGATGTCACTGATCTATTTCAATGAACATAAGAAGTTCCACAGAAGTAGAGGATTGATCAATCTTGGGCAATGTCTTCTTAGAAGAATGTCTCACACCTGGTACATAGATGATCACTCTTAGCCCAACCCAACTGAGGAATGTTAAGACAATAAAGAAGCAAAATGGGGAAGGAAACCTATGTACTCTATGGAAATCATTGGTTTCCTTGTTTATAACTCCTCTGGAAGATAAGAAATGCCAACTCCTACATTTTCTGTTGAGATTTATGCATGAGACTCAGTCAGAGGTTCTAGCCTAGTCATGACTTAACCATTTAGGGTTAATAAGGGGTCAAATTGTAATTTTACTTTGGTGGACTTCATTTCCTTCATCAGCATACTCAACTTATCACTAACGCTTTAGGGTATGTGTTTGTGTATATATGAGTGAGTGAGTGTGTGTGTGTGTGTGTGTGTGTGCGCGCGCGCGCGCGCGCGCATGCACACATGCTTGCATGCGTGCGCCAGTACTGGTACTGGAACTTGAAATCAGGGCCTGTCTCTCTTGGGTAGCTATTTTGCTGAAGGCTGGCAGTCTACCACTTGAGCCACACTTCCACTTCCAGTATTTTTGGTGGTTAATTGAAGAGAAGAGTCTCAAGGACTTTTCTGCTCAGGCTGGCTTTGAACTTCGATTCTCTGATCGTTACCTCCCATGTAGGTTGGATTACAAGCATGAACCACTAGTGCCTAGCTTAGAGTATTTTTGAGACAGCATGTACAAGGCCTTGAGTTTGATACCCAGCACTGAAGAGACCAAAAAAAGGACTGGAGTATTTTTGAGAGCTCCAAAGATGAATGCAACTCAAGCATATGTAGACGGAGAATACAATAAAGTAAAAATACACAAAAGCATGGCAACTTTCCATGTTCTACATTGGGGAACTATAAATTATAAAAATTAAAATTTCAAGGCTATGAAGATAAAGCTGTACTGTTCCCCAAATAACATTGATCTTAAGAATACAGGGAAATTGGGTACCTCCCTCTGATATTTTTCATTTTTAGTGTTTCTCAAGCATTATTTTGACCAAGTACCCAAGTTATAAACATTGACAGTGCCCATTTGTATAACCACACCTGATGTTAATAAAGACTTAACAATTTTCTAATATAACCCTATTGCTTAAAGTCAGACAGGTAGAACTGCATGAGAGACCCTTTTCCCATCCTTACACCAGCTCCTTTTGTTGTTGCATCTAGTCTCTTTCAGATGCAGTGCCCCCAAATACTTCCAGTCAAAAGGAAGCTATGCGCTGGCTGGAACTGCACTGAGGAATTGGCCAGGGTCCCATCTGAGGTTAAAGGCTCCCCCTGACCAAAAAAAACCCTTCTTCCCCCATTCCTTATGTTACATAAAATGAATGGCCAGAGGCCAGTTCCTGCTTGCATTTTTCATTGGTAAAAGTTCAAAATTCAAGTCTATTTTTTATTATCTGTTTCTATACTTGACAGGTCTTGGTAGAAAAGTCTCCCTCCAGATCCTCACTGTTTATGTGCTGAGCAAGACTTCCACCCTCATATATATATATTTCTTCTTTGCTTGTTTTTCTTTCCCATGTGTTTAGTTGTGGGATTAAACTTGAATGTAAACTTACAAGCTCCTAGAATGTGCTCTTGGCAGAGTCCTTTCCTTAACACACTAAGCCAGTTACAGTCCGTAAACTGCTTTACTCTTGAAACTTAACTAAAATTACTAAGAAGGTTTTATGTCTATGGAGAGTCTAAGAAAGCTTGGGGTAGCCAATCATATCGCACAGCACACATTTTTATTGTCCTGTATCTTTAGACTAAAAAAATATATAACCTTACTAAGGAACAATTCACAGACTATCCAATTTATTCATTTAGAGTGCATAGTTCAGAGAATGTGTTTTAGTATATTTAAAGACTATTATCATCGCCACTAGCTCATTGCAAAACTTTTTTTTTGTTTGGATGCCAGCACTGGGGCTTGACCTTGGCCTGAGCATTATCCCATAGCTTTTTCACTCGAGGCTAGTGCTCTAGCACTTGATCCACACCTCCACTTGTAGCTTTTTGCTGGATCATTGGAGATAAGAGTCTCATAGACTTTCTTACCTAGGCTGGCTTCAAACTGTGATCCTCAGATATAATCCTCTTGAGTAGCTAGGATTACAGGCATGGACCACCAGTGCATGAGTCTTTTGCTGGTTGACCCAGAGTTCAAGTGTGAACCTTCAAACTTTCCAGTATTTAATGTATTATTGAGATATGCTTTGTGCTTTATTTGTGTGAGCCAAATTCTTCTGAGTTGTTCCAACTTCCTTTCATATAGTAAGAAATATTCTCAGCAAAAACACTCTAGGATCTTCTCAAGTATTTTTTTTAACTGATGAACATTTTCTATTTCCCTCTCCACCCTAACTCCTATGTAGTGAGCCTACAGCTAGTTATGTCATGACGGTTAGATGTAATTAGCAACAATGACACTTCCAGTACAAGTACAAGTCACCTTTCACAAGTGGAGACACATTAAGTGGGATTATTAATACATAAGGGCCCATCATGTTAAGCTATGGTCTTTTTTTTTTTTTTTTTTTTGCACCAAAGCAAAATTTGACAGTAAAGTAAAAACGATTGTTTAAAAAACTGGGCCATTGCCCACTTTTGTACTCCAGCAGTAAATCTAAGGAGTGGTTTCCTTCTGTTCTGTAGTTTTACACTGGGAAATGCTCCTTTTACTGACAATCGCTTAACTATACTATGTTGTACTGTCTGTCTGAAGATGCTTCCTGCTTTGTGAAAGATATGGTTGCTTTTCTTTCCAAATCTAGAGTTGGTAATGGAAGCATTGTAGTGTTTTAGCTAATTTCATTTATCTTTTTCTTGCAGGTTCTGAAAAGTGCCTTTTCTGAAAACTCTGCTGCTTGGATTCTACTCTAGAGCTATCTCTTTTCAAACCCCTCTTCCATACACCCTTCCCTGTTCCCCTACCAAACTGGTGTGCTTGTACTTGACTCTTAGCAACTTGTCCATTTATTTTTTTTCCTGTGATTCTCAGTTGTCTTAGTCATTTCCCCTCCCCCTGACTTCGAAGCAAACTGTTGTTTTTGAAAAAATTTTAGATAACATCCTGCCCACCTTTATTCTTTCAAGCTACGAAATAAGGAGAAAGACTTTTTCTTTCCCTGATCGGAGACCATTCTACAAATTGAAGGGCAGCCAGCAGCATATGTTTTTTTTTTTTAAGAATAATTGAAAACATCAACTAGACAGCACAGAATTCTTTTGAAAGTCTGCCAGTTATTTGAAACAAATTCAGCAAAGGAACAAAATACAACATTCGATATCTTAACCTTTACAGTTTGCCTTCTTAAGAGTTGGTCTCTAATTTGGTTTTTAGTTCTTGTGATAAAAACCTTGATTTCATAAGTTACTTTTTTTGGTTTGACTTGTTCAGATTCGACTCAAATAAAAACCTAAGTGCTAACAAGTAGACTGCACCAAAGCAACCTGTTCTCGCTTTCACATTTAGCTCAAGTTCATTTTGACTCCTTTACCAATCCATAGTCATACTGTCCCAAAGAGGGTACACTGAATTGTAATTTTGCTTTCAATATGATGGCTGTCAATGTTGCCCTGATTCGTGATACCAAGTGGCTGACTTTAGAAGTCTGTAGAGAATTTCAGAGAGGAACTTGCTCTCGAGCTGAAACTGAGTGCAGGTTTGCCCATCCGTCAAGAGTTTGCCACGTGGAAAATGGCCGTGTGGTGGCTTGTTTTGATTCTCTAAAGGTGAGTGCCATCTAAATGCACATGATTATTTCAATGTGTTGATTTTTATGTTTTCTGAAATGTGATGTTATGAATACAGTTAATAACAGGATGAAGTTGGGAAGCATTTTTTTTTTTATTGTCAAGGTGATGTACAGAGGGGTTACAGTTACATAAGTAAGACAGTGAGCATATTTCTTGTCAAACTTGTTACTCCTTCCCTCTATTAGCCCCTCCCAAGTTGTACAGATCATTGCATAGGTTCCTCCTTTGTCCTTTGTCTCACCCTTTTTTTGTTCCCCTTCCCTTTCCTAGTTCAGATAAACATATATATAATACCTAGGATAGCAAAATCAAACACAGTGACAATAGGGTTTTTTAAAAAGGGGACATGTAGACTTCATATTTGTAGAACTAAGCTAATTAAAAGCCCCATCCACCAAAGCCTACTTAGGGAGATAGATATATTTAAAGGATAAAAATTCAAGATTTTGGGCTGGCGTGTAGCTCAGTGGCAAGGTACTTGCCTAGCGAGTGCAGCATCCTGGATTTGATCACCAGTACCAAAAAAGAAAAGACAAGAAAAAAATACAGCTAAAAAATCAAAAATTTTTGTAGGAGGAAAGGATTGCAGCCTTGCTATCCTTTAGCTTTTTTTTTGTATGGGATCTACACTTTTTTAATACAGTCATCAAAATCCTCTTATTACCCAGAGAAGAACGTTAGTGAATTACAATATATTTCTTATCCATATTGTGAAGACACATTTGATAAGGACCAGTCAGATTTTGAGGAGGTCTTTAACTTAATTCTGCTGCTACAAAACTCGGTTCCTTTAATTTTTTTCTTGAACTCCTGAGTGGTCACCTTCAGATTTGTGAGTATCTTTGTAAGGAAAGGGCTACTGCCAAGGTCATCAAAGCTGAATATTCCATATTCAGTAGAGTATAAACAAAAAGATGAGTCAGAGCAAGTGTTATGTAGAGTAGGATACATGATTTTCAAACAAGAGAACATAATGATTTTCATGCTTTTATCCATAATTACCCTCAAATCATGTATAAAGATGTACATATGCAAGCATAGAAGCAAAAACTGGATTTTTAGTTTAACTAATAAGATTTGCTATGATGCATTTGACATTTGTTTCAAAAGATGTCAACATCAATTAAGCTTAACAAGAACCTTTTCAATTCTTTTATATTGTTTTACCGTCATCGTGACCAGTTTTACCTCATTATCATTTTTATTTATGACTACTTGTCTACTGGAGATGTATCCCCTCATGTAGGAGTTTCTCAAATGGTATATAACAGGTTGCGTATTCCTTGTCTTGGGACCAGAAGTATTTCAGATGTCAGAGTTATTCTGATTTTGGAATATTTTTATGCACATGAACTATGTTGCACCCATGTCCTGGGTCTGAATCCGAAATTTTTATGTCCTACACAATGCAAACACTGAGGATAGTTTTATACAATATTTTTAGTGCAATATTTTTGACAGCAGCTATTACATGAGGTCAGTCATAGAATTGTCTACATGTGATGTCATGATGGTGCTACGAAAGTTGTGGATTTTGGAGCATTTAGGGTTTTCGGATTAGGGATGCTCAGGATATACTTGAGACATTACTTTTATTGCCTAATGGTTATTTGTTTTTATTGTAGACCATCCCAATTCAATAATGGAAATACGTTGTGGTAAAGATTAAGATAATTACTAACACAGAAACATCTCTGAATTGCTTTTTTTTTTTTTTTTTGTCAGTCGTGGGGTTTGAACTCTGGGCCTGGGCGCTGTCCCTCAGCTCTTCAGCTCAAGGCTAACACTCTACCACTTGAGCCACAGCGCCACTTCCAGCGTTTTCTGCTTATGTGGTGCTGAGGAATCAAACCCAGGGCCTCAGGCATGCGAGGCAAGAGCTCTACCACTGAGCCACCTTCCCAGCCCATTCTTTGCAGCAGATATTCTGTCTACAAGGCTTATTTTGTTTTCTTCATTTTTGAATCATTGGGAGTTCATCTGTATTTATTTTCTGTATTATTACTTCAATCTACTGCACTAAGCAGAGAGTTAAAGTAGAAAAAAAACTGAGCTACATAAAGGGAAAAAAGGTGACTTCTTTTATTCTGCCCATACACAGGGTCAGGCCATATACTGAGCTTTTTGCATATGTTGCTTCAAGAGGTCTTGGATATAATTCCAGCACTACTGTGTCTGATCTTTGTCTCTTTAATCTCACATATTTTAAGTCATGTTATTTCTAACCAATAGAAATGCCTTTCTTCTCTGCCTAACTTCCTGGATTATTATGGAAAATCCAGAGGTAAAATGTATCAATACAAAAGTGAATTAAATGAGAAGTTATCTTCATGAAGTATTTAGAGATTCTGCAACAAAAGGGGTTCTATTTAGTTAGGGCTTATGATTTAAACCTACAACCTAATGTCCCAAATGAACATGCCAAATATAATTACTCTGTGTGTGTGTGTGTGTGTGTGTGTGTGTGTGTGTGTGTGTGTGTGTGTGTGTGTGTGTGTGTTGGTAATTCTTCAAGCCATTTCGATGTGAAACATTTTACTCTCCAATATAGAATTCCTTAACATTGAAGATTCTGTCTTTCCAGGCATCAGAGAAAAATGGGAAACAATTCATGAACTTCCTAATCATTGATATCTTTTAGGTCAGTGTTGTCATTTAAAAAGAAAAGAGTAGCTGGATGCTGGTGGCTCATGGCTGTAATCTTAGCTACTCAGGAGGTAGAGATCTGAGGATCACAGTTTGAAGCCATCCTAGGCAAAAATGTCTAGTAGACTCTTATTTCCAATTAACCACCAAAAAGCAAGAAGTGGAGCTATAGTTCAATTGGTGGAGTGCCATTCTTGAGCAAAAAATGCTAAGGGACAGTGTCTAGGCCTTGAGTTCAAGCCGCAGGAGAGGCACACACACAAAAATTCAAATACTTTGAAGAAAATAAAAGGGAAGACAATTGTTTACAAAATGTATGCTGTACTTGAAATCTTGGAAAATGTTTAATTCAGACACTAAATAGATAATGGCTAATGGATATAAATAAGCCACTTAAATTATTTAAATAAGCAGTCTACTACTCATTGTATGTAGTGTTTTTAAAAATAATTTTTGTATTGTGTTAATACATTGATGACGAGTCACACAGGATAAAAATGATTTGCATAATCTTTATGCTCTCTGGTTTTACCTGAAAACCCTAATATTCAAATATATAAAGACTGTCAAACAGTTATTTAACTTGCCATTTAGATAACACACTCTTTAGAATTCCATGTCTGCATAAAGCCTTTATATCTCTCCTTCATATCATTTGTTATCCATAATGCGCATGAAAGGTATACTAGATTGAGGGTACTTGACCTATGTAGATTGTACTAATGTCATATCTGCAATACACAAAGGAATGTACCTCAGTGGGTACTATAGCTTAAGCTGCTACTCTTGAGTTTGTATAATTGAAGCACCATTGAAATTCATCCATGTACTATTTTTTGCTTCCATGAGTGGTTAAATAACTGAGGCAATCATTTGATGAGTTTTAGGCTGCAGCTTTTGTTTTCTCTTGTTTTGTTTTTGTAAGGATTTATTAGCACTAGCTACTCTACCAGAGGATGGTTCTTTGCCTTCATAATAGATAAAATAAGTACAATGTCTCTCACTCATCTCATAGTGAGGGAATGTCACGAAAATAGGAAGGATGAGCCGGATGGTTGATTGTGCATTGAGCTGAGCTGCTGTGCCTTATCATTGTTATTTAGTTATGAAGGTTGCACTCGTTTCAGATCGAAAATCTAAGCCATGAGCCAGATCTACATTCGTTTCCAGCTACACAGAATAGTCTCATGTCAATTTGGTATGCAGCTGCTTTTGACTTGATTGCCTTGTCTGCTTAGCATAATTTATTTCAAAAGTTTCTTTCAAAGTATCATTTAATCCATTCTGCGCTGATTTCTTGATATTTACAGTTTGCCACTGATCTAGATTGGCATTTTTAGTGTATAGGTCTTAGCTTAAACAAAGGAATGTTGCTTTTAAAATAAAATCAATTTTTATGATTGTTTTCATAGTCAACTTACTCATCTTCAGCAATATTATGAAGTCTTGAACCTTCCATTCCATATTTAAGATAGTGTGTGATATCAGCCAGCTGTTATCCAGGAAGAATATAAATGCTGTCATTACTTTATAATGACAGATCAAAACTCATCATGTCTCCCCACTGAACTCACCACTTTGGGTGGTTTCGTAACAATTATTTCCTAGTTGAGTCAATGGCAGCTGGCATAATCAGAGAATAATCATATCAATTCATATACATTCCTAAAAAGATAAGAGACATGCATATAAAAAGCAATCCACATTTTTGTGGCTATCATCATTGTTGTCGTTGTTGGTGGTGGTGTTTGTTTTTGCTTTGGAGTTTTCTTTCTTATGGGGATGTGCATAAAGGGAGGAAGAGTAAACAAATGTAGTCATGCTATTCAGTAGACACTAGGTGGAAAATGACCTATGTAACTTATGAGCAAGGACGGGAGGGGGAAAGTGAAGGAAGGGATAACATTGTCCAAAAAAGAAATGTACTTATTACCTGACTTATGAAATAGTAACCTCGCTACACAACACCTTAATAATAATAGAATTATTTTTTAAAAGCAGTCCACAGGGGCTGAGAAGGTGGCTCAGTGGTTTAACACTTGCCCTGCATACATGAGGTCCTGGTTGGATTCCTTAGCACCACATAAGCAGAAAAAGCCAGAAGTGGCACTGTGGCTCAAGTGGTAGAGCGCTAGTCTTGAGCTGAATAGCTGAGGAACAGCGCCCAGACCCGGAGTTCAGGCTCCATGACCGACAAAAAAAAAAAAAAAAAAGCAATCCAGACTATGCCTTCAAGCATTATCTTTGATCAAGACATGAGAAAGCATTGAAGGGATATAAATCTATCCTTTTAGGTAATAATTGGCCCCAGTTGCATTATTTTCTGTGTT